CGCAGGCCGACCACTGGCTGAGCCACAAGCTGGCCCAGCCCAAAGGAGGTAACGCACGCACCGGGCCCCACGCGCGCCAGCAACCCTCCCTGCGCCTGCCGGCCTCCCACTTCCCACCCTTGGCCCTCTTTTACTTACATTTTTAGTAGTTGCTCAGCAGGGAGGGGTGGAAACTTCCAGACAGCTTGCCTTCACTGCAGACAACTTCCAGCACTGTTTGCAGAATGGGACTTTTGGCGGGCTCAGCACGGCAGAGACAGGCTGGACAATTCCTATTGGCTTTTGAAAGCCAATAGAATTAGACTCTATTCAAGAGAGTCTATTCTATTGGCTTTCAAAAGCCAATAGAATAAAAGGGAGTAGCACAGCTAAGGAAAAGGAGAAAAAAATGGTGGACTGCATTGTTTGGCGACCCCCATGAAATGGTCGTTTGACCCCAAATGGGGTCCCGACCCACAGGTTGAGAACCGCTGCTTTAGTGACTATTCGAAGTTATATCAGCACTGAAAAAAGTGACTTATAACCATTTTTCACACCTATAACCATTAAAGCATCCCCCTAGTCATGTGATCGAAATTCAGAAGCTTGGCAACTGACTCCCATTTATGATATTTGCAGTGTCCCAGGGTCACATGATCACTTTTTGTGACCTGACAAGCAGTCAATGGGGAAGCCAGATTCACTTAACAACCATGTGACTAACGACTGCAGTGATTTACTTAGCAACTATAGCATGAAAGTTAGTAAAGTGAGGCAAAATTCATTTAACAACTGTCTTGCTTAGCAACAGAAATTTTGGACTGAATTGTCATGAGTCAAAGTCTACTTGTTAATTTGGGGTTTCCATGAGCTGGGGTGAAGCAAGAACAAAACCAAGAAAATGAAATCCAGATACTGTGAAAAAGATTTTATTCTCCAGAACAAAAAGGGTAGATTGCAGAGAAAAATGGGAGCAGGGACTTGGTTTTAGTGGGGTACTAATCCCTTAGTGTAAATTCAGATGTCTGGTTTGTGTACATGCAGGTTTAATGCTGGTTTGGAATGCTCCTGCTTTGATCCTGAAATGTGTGAAATCTGAAAAGAAAGATTGCCTTCAGATATGTAGCTCCCTCCCTCCAAGTGGCGTTTTCCTCACCCTGAAGAAATTCCTGTTCCTTGATCTCATTAGTGGGATGCTAGTCTTAAGTACTGGGATTGTATGCTGATTGGCAGATCAGAAAGCTGCTAAAAGTGCTGGGGGCAGATCAGAAGCCTTTTAACTTCCAATAGAGAGATAAATAGGCAGATAAAATATATGAGGCATTTCTATCATTCTAGCTCAGAGTTTCTCAACCTTGACAATTTTAAGGCATGTGGACTTCAACTCCCAGAATTCCACAGCCAGCAATGCTGGCTGTGGAATTTTGGGAGTTGAAGTCCACATGGCTTAAAATTGTCAAGGTTGAGAGTGCGAGGCTCGCCCGAACACAGGTAAAAACATTAGTCTCTATCTTGTGGGGATGAGAGTCGCAAAACATAATTACTTCATCGCTCTTATTGCTTTTGCAGGTAGTCAACTGGCTGCCCTGTTTCAGATAATCAGATCTTTCCTGGGTAAAGAGGATCTTGCAAGGTCGCGGCGTGAGGAATATTCTTGCATCTGTTAGATCAAATCACTAGATTTTGCTGGGAGCTGGACTCTGGCTAGGCAGTCTCCTAGCTTAGAGGGAGACACGTCTGAGCCATGTTATCTGAGAGCTGAGCCGGTTGCTCTTGAGGAAGTGGATAGGCTCTTCGGAGCCCCGAGTTCAGCCACGTGTTATGCATTCATGGCCCTCCTGGATGGGTACGGCGTCCCAGAAGTTGGCATGTGGCTGAGTCCAAGTAGTAATTAATCCCTTCCAAAATGGACGATTCGCTGCAAGGGGTAAGATGGTGCAAAGTACGTATTTGCATTTCATCCAGAGATTTACTGCCTCGGGAGAAAAAAAGGCGGTTCTCGAGATAGCGCGCAACCCCAGATTGCTCTTCTCGACCCGCCCCGAAAAACAAACCATCGGAACAGTCTTGCCTTAAAAAAAAACAAAACAAAAAAAAACTACCATCCCCAGACTGCTTAGCGCTGCGGAAGCGAAGACTTCTATCGTTAATCCCTGCTAGCTCAAACTTTTCTTGGAGGTGTGAAGAAACAAAGAATCTTGGGTGGAGCCCAATCGGAGCTTAGGAGGCGGAGCAACGTGAATAGCGAAACCAATAGAAAAGTGTCCTGTTCTGCGATGGCGGAGACGGTAAATAGGAGCAGGCGGGAAGGGACGGAACAATTGGGGGAAGCGGGATGGAATTTTGGCGTCTGGGTAACGCCCCCCTGGTGTTTCCCGCCCCTCCCCAACAGGTAGGTTCCAGCTCCAGCAGCGACTCGGAGCCAGAAGGGACCCCCAGGAAGCCCTTTCACAAGCGACGCCGCCTTATCGCCAATATTCCCGCCGTCCCGATCTATTCAAACAAGGTGTGTGCGGACGGGGTGACTTTTAAGGGGTGCGTGACATCATTTCTTCCCTCCCCCCACCCCCAAGTTCGCTCGCTTTGTAATTTCTTCTGCCCGATCCGGATTGCCACCTCGTTTTTCGGATGACGTAATTTGGTGCCAAAGATCGATACAAATTTTGATGGGGACCTCTGTTATCTGTATTAGTCTTACTTTGTTTATTTCATGACGTCTTGTTGCCCATTTTACGCTAGTTATAGGTTTATGCGATGTATTTTTATTGTAGCGCTCTTTGGGCTAAAGGTTATAATAAAAGTTTTGGTTTGATTCACCCTAACTTAATGTTCAGTGTCACCGCGTGCCACTTCCATCGTCTTCAGTGTAGTGGAAAAATGGGATTAGTTAAGTAAATTATCCCCTTCTCAAACCCAGCTTCTCAGGGAGAGAGAAAATTGTCAGGTCAACCCTAAAACATTAAATTGCAAAACATGTGATTAGGAACTGCTGGGAAACAAGGCCACAGGGAAATAATTAACATATCAATAATAATTCTCATTCAGAGAACATAGACTTTGCCTAACTTAGTGAACTGTTGTTTTTGTTGTGCCATCCTCATTACCTCAGTGTCTTTATCACAAGTACATTTCCAGTTAAATTACTGTATTCTGCTGCTGTATCCAAATGGATACCCAATCAAATTTTCTGCTGCAATATATGTATTGTAATTAATATAAATCTGTATAATGGGGTTGAGAACCAGTTTGGTGCAATGGTTTAAAGCAGGGGTTCTCAACCTTGGCAACTTTAAGACTTGTGAACTTCAACTCCCAGAATTCCTCAGCCAGCTGCTGGCTGAGGAATTCTGGGAGTTGAAGTCCACAAGTCTTAAAATTGCCAAGGTTGAGAACCCCTGCTTTAAAGGCATTGGACTAGAAATATCTAGTCCTGATTGAGGCATGAAATTAGGTAGTGATTTTGGGCTAACAGTCTTGCTCCTAGGAAACAAGTAATGACAGGCCACTATTGAAAATCTTGCCTGTCTACAGGGATGTGATCAGGAAGTCACAGATGGTCAACACTAACTTAAAGATATGGGTGTTTATATCTAAAAATGAGATTACAGAAATTAGTCTCTGCTGATTCTTGTTTTGCATGGAAGGATGTGCCTGATCTCCATTATCAAATAATTCAATGGAAAGGTTTCTTCAGCTTGCAAAAACATTGGTGTTCCTTGCCAAATACAAGAGAGAGCTTAATTTAATGACTGTTGTATAGCCCCCAATATTGGGTGTTTGTCAATCTTCCTCCAACTGTTTTTTGCACAGTCCCTTATACTACTGGGGAAAAGAGTTTTGTCATTGTCCCTTGCCCAATTTGTATTTATTCTTTGCAAAACAGGCAACTCTTTCAGAGGAATGCCTTTTGAGAGGGGAGAAATCTCAGTTCCACAGAAAGCTGGGATTTCCTCCTGGCTAAGATTTCCTCCTGGCAGGTAGCCCTGTCACTTTGAAAGAATTGCCTGTCCAGAGGGAATCTCAGCTTAGTGGCAACAGCTTTGCAAACTTTCCTGCCAGCTTCCCCATTGACTTTCTGGAGAAGCCAGCAGAGAAGATTTCAAATGGCAATCACATATCACGGGGAGCTTGGCAACCAATTGTAAGTGCAAATAGGTTGCCAACCACTCAGATCGTGATTATATGATTGTGGGTTTTGCATGTGTGCAACATTTTACAATGCTTTAGGGACCATAAAGCACTCTTTCCAAGGCATTGTAACTTTGATTGTTTTTTGATCATAAGTCAAGAATTATTTATAGACCAAATTTAACCTGGGTAAAAAGGATCTTAGTGACTCACAAGCTGGATATGAGCCAGAAGGGAGATGTAATAACTACAGATATTGCAGTAATAGGTTATATTATTAGAAACATGATATCCAGATAAAAGAAAAGGTGATTTAGTGTTTATGGGTGCATTTTTTTCCTTTTTTCTAAAAAGAGCTGCTGATTGTCCAAAATATTTTTGAAGAGCTCTGAATGTTTTTTTAAAGAGAAAGCCATTGTAATTCTTTATAGTGCACTGTAATTAATGTTGCCCTCAAACCTATCTTGGTTACCTTCAATTATTGTCAAGTTTGCTCCTTATTGTCATCAGTACCCTTTGTTGAAGGGAAGCAAAGAACCATAGCATTCCACTTTTACTGTGATTGATCATTCATCTAGATCAGTGGTTCTCAATCTTTTTATACGGCGACCCCGGTCATAAGGACGCGCTGCGCATGCGCGGTGCTGCCCCCATGCGCATGCGCGGCGGCGCCCCCTGAGGGGAAAAAATGGCGGATCACACTGTTTGACGACCCCCGTAAAATGGTCATTCGACCCCAAATGGGGTCACGACCCAAAGGTTGAGAAGCTCTGATCTAGATATACTACTGCTGTATCACTGACTCCTACATGTTGAGTGACTAATTCCTATTTCTCTTTCTAGTAACCTGATAAATTCCCCCCCCCCTTACTTCTTTTGTTTCTTATCTGCAGGTTCAGAACAGCCTACACTTGTTGCAAAATTCTCTGAAGCTTCCTGATCAAGTTGAAGAGCTTTGTAGTGAGCCCCTGGTTCTTAGCTCATCAGAAGAGGAGAAAGAGAAAGAGAAAGAGCAAACTCTTATAAAGCAAGTGAAGCAAAAACCAAAGTTTCAGTTCTCTTCTCTGCTGCCTGACTTTCCAGAAAAGCTGAATTTAAACCATTACTTTGTTTGTTCTCCTTTTGGCAGATGTCAAGATCTTTCATTTTCACCTTCACCTCCTCCATTGCAACAAAAGAACCATCATGTGAAAGCCCAGTAAGAAATTGTTATTTCTGGAAATGAGGTGGGACTACAGTGGATTGATAATAGAGGAGGAACAAAATCTTTAGGGAGGATTGGGATCTCTGGGATACAATTGATTTAAATTGGAGGTTTCTTTCCTTAGGTTGTTCCAGCTAACAGGAGCCATCATACCAGCTTGAGATAACATGGCATGGTGCTTCAGATAGCTCAGCAATTATTTAATGTGTATCAGAAGAGAGCCAGCAGATGGCAGTCAGCACATTTTGACTAAGTTTGTTAAGTTATGCAGCCTATCAAGCCCAGTAAAGATTTTGTTGATCTACTTCTGTTGATATCATAATCTCCTTTGACACTTCTTAATATTGTGCTGAAAATAATATAGTTATACAGGGTTGGACAGGTGGTTATGTTCTGTCTTTATAATACAGCTTCATGCAGGATTTCAGTGAATTGACTGATATAACTGATAAGGCTGGACTATGCCAGGTTATTCTTTCTGTATTTAGCTTGTTTTTGTGTTGTATGCCAATTTGGGCAATACTTTGAGCTGGGAAGGAGGACTGGTTTCTTGGTGGTGAGCTTAGGTTAGGAGTTACAGAATAATACAGATAGTTCTAGACTCAAAACAATTTGTTTAGTGACTATTTAAAGTTACAACGGCACTGAAAAAACTGACTTAATAACACATGCTTACACTTACAACAGTCACAAATTCCCCACAGTCATGTGATCAAAATTTTGAATGCTTGGCAGCCAGGATGTATTTTATGATGGTTGCAGGGTCCCAGGGTGACGTGAGATTCCCGGCTGACTTCCAACAAGCAAAATCAATGGGGAAGCCAGATTTGCTTAACAACTGCCTGATTCACTTAATAAGCGCAGTGATTTGATTAACTGGACGTGACTCACTTAATAATGGAAATCGTGGTTCCATTAAGTGATTGTAAGTCAAGGACTGCCTGCATACCATGTTTTCCCGAAAATAAGACCTACTCCGAAAATAAGCCCTAGCTTTCCAGCTCAGACGCTCCACCTGCTGCTTTGGTGGCTGTGTGGGTAGAGCTATGAACAGGGCCAGGTGACCGAAAGTGCCAGTAGTCTGGCTCAGAAGAGGAGTGACAGGGAAGCTGAAACGGGCCCGCTGCTCTCTAGCAGAGGGAAGGCTGGCATCTACTAGTACGGGCACTTATGGTAAACGCAGCAGCATTCCGGCTCTGGCAGGGAAGGGGCAATCTGCATGGGCACTGCAGGCAGGACGCTGGCTTGCTTCAGCATCTTTAAGTACCAAAGCAGCAAATTAATTCACTAAAGGCTCCCTACAGAAGCCACGACAAATACGTGAAAAGGGTCTATCCCTGCTATCCTTCCCATTTCCAATTCTTCTGTATATGTTGGATTGGGGGAGGGGGAAGATAAGGGAATTATATTCCAAAAGTTTAGAGATATACTAAATTGGGGGAGATAGGCACCTTGTCTTTTCCATGCTAGAAATTTTATGAAGAAGTCCAGCCTGGGGGGGGGGCTTACATAATATCTGTGCAGATAATTCTTAACTTCAGGGGACATAATGATGGTGGCAACAGAGTGATAAAGCTACTGACTCCAGTGCATATTTTCTTGAACCTGTATGATCATGTCAGCATAAAGTCTGCTTCTTTAAGAAGTCTGCCGACAGATACAGAAAAGGGGTTCCATAACAGATCCAAAGTACCTTTTCCTGTTTCAAACTGAATACTGATAGTCTTCAACTTACAACAGTTCATTTAGTGATTGTTCAAAGTTACAATGGCATTGAAAAAAAGAGACTTATGATCATTTTTCACAGTTAAGACCTTTGCAATATCCCTATGATCAATGTGATCAAAACTCAAATGCTTGGCAACTGGCTCATACTTATGACCATTGCTGTGTCCCAAGGTCATATGATCACCTTTTGCGACCTTGTGACAAGCAAAGTCAATGGGGAAGCCAGATTCACTTAACAACTGGGAGATTAACTTAGCTGCAGTGATTCACTTAACACCTGAGACAAGAAAGGTCGTAAAATGGGGCAAAATATACTTAACAAATGTTTCACTTAACAACAGAAATGTTGGGCTCAATTGTGGTTGTAAGTCGAAGACCACCTGTATAGCATACCTCTAGGTCAGTGTTTCCCAAACTTGACAATTTTAAGGCATGAGGACTTCAACTCCCAGAATTCCACAGCCAGCATTGCTGGCTGTGGAATTCTGGGAGTTGAAGTCCACATGCCTTAAAATTGTCAAGTTTGGGAAACACTGCTCTAGGTAATGGCATCTCAAGGCAAAACCCAGCATATGGATTTCTCACTCAGGTTTGTCCTTGATTTCTCAGCAGAATCTTCGATCAGAGTCTCAGAAATTTGACCACCTCCCTCTCAGCTGCCAAGAAGAGCTTGCAAGAGCAAGGGTCAGAATCGGATGAGGATGACGTGATTTTGGTTGATGTATTTGAGCCCCAGGAGCTGATGTTGAAAGTGCGATGCCGAGCTGATCTTTACAGAGTCTGCATTCAAATGGTTTGATACTTTGGTATTTGATTATCTTATCCCTGTTCACTTCCCATTGATGTCATAATGTGGGCTTTTCTTTTCTCTTTTTTTCCCCGGCACATTTCTAGGACTTAGTCCTAACATCTGCAATAGAGACTTCTTTTTCTGAGCTTCAATGCAGAGGCAGCCAGCCTTCTTGGGCTTTTGAATCTTATTGTCTCAATGCTGCAATATTAGTCTTTTAGCCATGATTAAGACACAGAATCCATTTACCTTGTCTTCTTACACAGCTATTTATTTCGCATTTTGTAGACACAGCCTCTTCAGCGAGTGGTTGAGCACATGTCACAGATACTGAATGTTCATCCAAACAGAATCCTCCTCCTCCATCGAGATTGTGAACTTGCGACTGATGCTACTCCTGCTAAGTTGGACCTTGGTGTTGCTGACATCATTGGTGAATACCTTAGGGCAGGGGTGCCCAAACTTTTGGGCACCAGTTCCGTGGAGAGAGGTTTTTCCGCAAACCGAAGGGTGTGTGGTTTTGTGTGCTGCCTGCTTCTTGCAGATGGGGCTTTGCTTGTTTGTACAGACTGGTTGCTGGCATGCAGTGGCCCGGTACTGGTCCATGGAGAGGGGTTGAAGACCCCTGCCTTAGGGACTTCTTTTTTTTTTTTTAACTTCAGATTGTCATCGCTTCCAATCTCATTGACTATTTTAAATTCCTCAAACCTGTTGCCTCCCAAATGAATTTTGTACTGTCCAGTATTTTACAGCAGTTTTCTTGTGTTCTCCCTACTATATTGCCTAAACCTGTTTTTTTTTTTTCAAAATTAGAACCACTGCAAGGGTTGGGAGATACTAAATTCTCTATTCAGCCACATCCTTATTTTGCTATTTTGAACTCTGAAGAAAAGATAGGATAAACATTCTCTGTTGGACAACTTCCAGATTGTATAGTGGAGACCAGTAGCCAACGGGCTGATGATTCTGGAACCCTGTTGCTTCGAGTACAAGGAAAAGACAAAAGTTCTGTGATGGAGATTACAATCCAGAAGGTAAAAGAACTAAGGTATGGTTTATAGGGTTTCTTCTGTGAGGAAGCATTATAATATAGTAATTATGTTCTCCTTTCTGCAGGGGGAGCCCTTAGAAGTCCTTATGAATCAATACAGACAAGCTCAAGGTCTAGACAGATGCAAACTCGTCTTCTATTTTGATGGGCAGCGTTTGGCAGAAACCCTGACCCCTGAACAACTGGGGATGGAATCTGGTGATGTTATTGAAGTGTGGAAGTAGCATCCTTGCATCTCCAAAGAATCCATGTCTAGACTTGATTGTTTTTGGTTTTGCTACCAATCCACTCTGAATGACTTACCTGCACCCTAGTTTTCCTGATTTAATTTTCACTGTGCCTGATATCACAGTGGGAAGTGGCAGTTTAATTTGTGGAGCAAGTAAACATAGGATAATTTCACTTTGTTCTTTTATCTCCTGTATGCAAAATTTGGAATATGTAATGAAATTAAATTTTGTTAATGGTCCTGTTGCTTGCAGACCAACTTTGTAGGGGAATAATGATGGATATTAAGAGAACACTATGTTCTTAATAACTCTACTTCAATAAATAATAATAACACCATCAAACAACAACATCTGCCTATCCCAGGTTCTTGAGAAGGATTTGATAAGTGAATAAAAATGCCAAATGCAATCTAAATATCTAGCTGACTGCAACCAACCATAATAATATGAAAACTGCAGAACAGAAGAGAAAGAAATGGAGTACATCCCAAAAGATAAAGACCTGTAAACACAAATAGAACAACAAAAGAAAGCAAAGATATAGTAATGGACACCTTGGGTATAATTCCAAAAATCAGGAACATCGCTTGAACGCTATCAGCATTAACGAAATCACCAGTCAATTGCAAACAGCAGCTTTACTTGGAAAAGCTTACTTCCTGTCAATATTTCAATATTACACAACAACATCTGCCTATCCCTTGGAAAGGGCTCAATAGGTGGACAAAAATACCAGATCTGATCTAAACATCTGGCTGTCTGACAATCATAATATGAAAAACAAAGCAATACAATTCCAATACCGTATTATATTTTCTTACTTTCCATGGTATTAACCAGATTTCCTAAGTAGAGTCACGTCAATTAAAAAATTGTGGACTTCATCTTTGTCAAATTGCTGGATAGATCTAACTCTGCTGCCTTGGATAAACAGATGCGTATCCTATTTAGGTGCTCTCTGTTTGAATTTCTCATAATCTCCAAGCATGGTGATTTGGAGTCCAACATAACTGGAGAATATATCAAGTCTCATTGTGTAGAGCTAAAATCCCAGTGACTCCAAGTATACACTTGTGTTTTTCTTGACAATACTATGGAAGTGTTTTTACCATTATGTTGGCTTTTTTCCAGTTTAGTCACTGAATCCCAATATTTGTCAATAGCGCTGATTAAGTGCTGGCCTCCAATAGGGCATGTGGAGAATACCAACTTGGAAGAAAATCTGCTTATGCTCAAAATGTATGCACATAGAAATTGGTATTGTGTTCTTCGATAAAGCAGCTGACATTTTTAAAGAAAGGGAAATCATACTTGCATGTAGACACGGTTTTAATTTATGAACAGCTTCTAATACCATTGATATTGAAAAATAACACATTCCAAAATTGTATGTAATCCAAGCCAAAAAACCTTTCCTATTTTTTTTTCTCTTGTGGGACATTCATACTGATAAATAATGAGGGTTTTTTTGGTTTACTTAGCAATTTTATTTTTGACTTTTTAATCATAATTTGGAGCACTGTAAACCACAATGAATATACTAAGAACCCAAACACTTAAGAAGTTCTGCAGGAATCTCTTTTTGTCTTCATCTGTCCTGAATTCTTTTCTCTTGGGCAAATAAAATTATACAATGTCCTGGAAGAAATAATTCAGCAGCAAAATGGGTGCTGGAGACCATTTTTGCTTTTCTTCAAGCAAATTCTAGTTAGATACAAAGATTTTCACACAGTAATAGAAATTCATTTATGCCAGCATTTGCACTATTGAGCTCATAGGATCTACAATTGGATAAAACAAGATTACAATCTTACCAATGAAAAAGGACGTTGACCCCTAAAGAATATAGTCTTGTAAATCATTAAATAGATAAATGTATCTTACAGATAACATGGGAACAGAATAAATAAAATGTATTTCCTAATTCTATCACAAACCATACCTCTTCAAGTCAGATGATGGTAGAAGACTTGGTTTTAGGTTTTAGGTTGAGTGGTAGGAAAAGGTTAGAGTGGACTAGACTACCTGTGACCCCCTTGGTTTAAGATTCATCATTTCAGAGATATTTCCTTACCCTCAATGCCTTCAACAATGGCAGAGCTTCTAATATACTTAAAAATTCAGGGAGATATTTAGAGCGGTATCTGCCTTGAAAGTAGCCTGGGGCTTATCAGCATTTTCACCCATTGTACCACTTTTAGGATATGGCAATATCCAAGTACCACCAGTCGCCTAGCAAGGTGTCAAAAAGTTGACCCAAAAAAAAAGGAAAAGGAAAAAAATGATAAAGTACAGGTAGTCCTCGACTTACAAAAGTTCGCTTAATGACTGAAGTTACAATGGCACTGAAAAAAGTGCCCCCCCAAGCCACAGCCGAGCAAGACGCCTGCCCGCCCAGCAGCGCTCTTCCTCCTGTCCGAGGTTTTCATTGTTGTGATCATTTCTGTTGAGGATTGGCAGCGGGGGTGGGGTGGGGGTGTTTGGTTTTTATTCCCCCCGTCTGCTGGGTAGTTGCAGCAGGTTTTGGTCACTTCACATGACCCTGGGACACTGACCGTCATAAATATGAATCAGTTGCCAAGCATCTGAATGTAAATCACAAGACCCTGGAGAGGTTGCAACATTCCAGCTGATCGGCGCTTCTTCTGGGCTCAGCAGAAGCGCCAGGATCAGTGCTGCTTTCCAGCTGATTAGTGCTTCTTCAAGGCTCAGCAGAAGCACCAGGATCAGCGCCGAGCACCAGCTGGAGCCTGGCACTGATCCTGGTGCTTCCGCTGAGCCCTGACAACCCTGCAGCTCCATCCATCTCTTGCTCAGGCTGATGCGTTGCTGCCACCGGTTCAGCTCATTCCCCTCCCCCGCTACCACTTTTCTAAGATGGTCGCATACCACCTGCCAGGTGCCAACGTACCACAGGTGGTACCCGTACCACTGATTGAAAAGCCTTGAAGTAGCCCATGTTGAACTGAATAATACAGCCAAACAACAACACAGAAAATGTTTTATGATATTTTGTATTATGTCACAAACTGCTTTGTGATCATTTTTATGTCAAAATGTTTTATAATACAGTGGCACCTTGGTACGCAACTGCTGTGGAACTCATCAAATTTGGTATTCAACACATTTTGACATGAACATTTTATCCCGGGACTCATCGTTTGTTTGGTACTGAACACACTAGCTAGAACTTGTCGGGGGGGGGGGGGGTTGGCTGCCTTGTAACTACATTATTCCTTACAGGAAAAATTTGCTACTCATCGTTTTTGGTACTCATCGCACCTCCTGTAACCAATTAACAGTGAGTTCCGAGGTACCACTGAGGTTGCCAAGTTTCAATTCCATGGGAGTTATAGGCCCTGGATTTTGGAAGCATACTGTAAGGTAGCTTACTTGAAGTATCTTGATTCAAAAATTGGTGCCCTGTATTGTAGCATTTTGCCCAGTGAAAGGTAATAGGAATGAGGGTTTGGATGGATGGATGGATGGACGGATAGATGATAGAGACACAATGCTATGGAATGCATTTATAGCTTTATCTTGCCTATTTCCATAAATACTCCACTTTTTAACAGTTGAATGTTTTTTTGCTTAACTTGTACATCTAACGGCATCATGTAAATACATCTAGAGAACTTCTCAGTGTATATGGCTTTTAAATAGTTCTGTGACTCCAGCAGGTTAATTGGTAGGTTAATTATGTCATGAGAATGTGGCGGGAGGGCTGGCACATTTTATATTGGCAGAAAGTGCTTTATGGACCTTAAAGTACCTGTTCTGATGCAGTTGCTGAGTGACCAATTGTTAAGTCCAGGACTACAGTACCCATACCCATTTTACAGGTTTTCAATTAGAGCAATATAACTCAATAAGCTGTCTTTCAAAAAGGAGAAAGAAATTTGTTTTGCTGATACAGTGATTGTCTACAATACTTTTATAAGACAATTCACAAGAAATCTGCAGTATCTTACTGCAAGAATGGGGCTTTAGACAATGTGTGGCTCCAACCTAGTTAATAGCAAGTGATGATAGCTGCATTATGCTTGAGATGTGTTCAAAAAACTAGCCAAACTAAGCCATGATTAAAAATCATTGTGGCCATGATAAAGCCAAATTGGTTGTATTCATGTGACATGCTAAATCACATTAACTATCATGTTTAATGTTTTTTGCATACCCAGGTTGGCTACTTTATAGTTGTGTTATGCAAATACAGAAAAATGGCTTGAGTAGAAACATCATAGTTAAGCATGGGTAACTATGAGTTGTATGAGCCCAGCCATATTTCATAGTATTTTATAAGAACATAATGTTAAACCACAATGTAATTTGTTTGGGTTTGCTATTGTTATCCAGCAGTTGTGCTATAATAATAATAATAATAATAATAATAATAATAATAATAATAATAATAATAATAATAATAATAAAAAAAAACCTGGCAATGGCTAAGAGCAGGAAAATTGAAGAAAGAGACCGAGGGACTAATTCTGGCTGCACAAGACCAAGCCTTAAGGACAAATGCATACAAAGTCAAAATTGAGAAGACAGCAACAGACAGTAAGTGCCGCCTATGCAAAGAAGCTGAAGAAACAGTGGACACTTGGTAAGCTGTTGCAAGAAGATTGCACAAACTGATTACAAGCAGCGGCATGACAAAGTAGCACCAATGGTGCATTGGAAGATCTGCAAAAAATATCATTTGCCTGTAAGCAAAAACTGGTGGGATCATAAAATAGAGAAAGTCATAGAAAATGATAAAATTAAACTGCTCTGGGACTTCAGAATTCAAACAGACAAGCACCTGCAACATAACACCCCAGACTTAACAATTGTCAATAAGAAAGACAAAAAGTCTGGATAGTGGACGTGGCAGTGCCTGGAGACAGCAGAATAGAAGAGAAAGAACTGGAGAAGATAACAAAATACAAAGACCTACAAATCGAAATAGAAAGACTGTGGCAAAAGCAAGCAAGGGTAGTACCAATAGTCATAGGCTCCTTGGGTGCAATTCCAAAACAACTGGAGCACCACTTGAACACCATTGGCATTGACAAATTCGCTATTAGTCAATTGCAAAAGGCAGCCTTATTAGGAACTGCTTCCATCCTGCGACGATATCTGTTATACCATCAAACATCCACATCTGCCTATCCCAGGTCCTGGGTAAGGACTCGATAGGTAGACAAAATGCCAAATCCAGTCTGAATATCTGGCTGACTGTGCGATGATCCATAATAATAATAATACTGTGGCAAAGGCAAGACTGGCAAAAGCAAGCAAGGGTAGTACCAATAGTCATAGGCTCCTTGGGTGCAATCCCAAAACAACTGGAGCACCACTTGAAC